GAAGGGTGCTGCTGGGGCTTGCTAGCCCTAGGCCTGCCCCTAGGAGGAAGAGCAGCTGATCCAGTACGTGCATGACAGGAGCGAGAGACCGGCAAATAGTTTTGTCCTGATGGCTAGTGCCTCTGAGATGGACCGCGAGTGCCATCCTGTGGCCTTCACTGTCACCATCCTGCCTGTCAATGACCAACCCTCCGACCTCACCACAAACTCAGGCCTGCAGGTGAGCGTATTGCTGGGATCATCCCCCATGTCTGCTTTGAGAAAGAGGCCAGCATCCCCTACTTCCCGGCACAGATCTCCCCCTCTCTGAGCCTCAGTTTCCTCCTCTGCAAAATGGGGCCACTACTGTGTGCCTCACGCAGTTGTTGGAGGGAGAGATGTGAGATTGTGCTGAAATAGAACACCGGTGGGAGGTTTTGTTATTGGACGTTTGCAATACGGTAGGCAGACTTCTGAGCAGCCGTGGGTGGCTCTGCTGTTCCTTCTCCTGTGGCTTAAGACCAGAACACCTGATGGAATCACTTACAAGCTCTTAAGGGCAGGCATCAGGGCGGGACTGTTAAGCTTCCCACCTTCACCCCAGCAAGTGAAAGCCACAGCTTGACTCCCCAAACTCCTGCCCTTGTGCCATAGCGGAGCAGGGCCCCCATTTGGCAGAGGTGGAGGTTGAGGCCCAGAGATGGGATGGAACTTCTCCATGGTTGCAGAAGTAGTTCTGGTGGAACAGAAAGGGCATGGCTTTACTAAGCCCACATGGCAGGGCCTTGAATGCCAACTTCTGGAGGGCGTCTTCCCCAGTCAGCAAGAGCCATTGAAGGTTCCACAAGAGGGCTGACTTGGGCTGTCTCTGACATGGGGCACTGGGGGGACTTGGTGGTCTAGGATGTGCCTCGTGGTGTGGAGGCCACAGAAGAGTGGGACGCAGCGCCCTGGAACCACAGGGCGGGACGACTGTGTGGCAGCGTGGCCACCAGGTGGCATCCACCCGTGTTTGCTCTGGGAGCCCAGAGATGGGGCCCTGCTTCCCACACTATGGCCCCTCCTGCCAAGGTTTGGCCTGAGGGCTCCCTGGGGCTGGGGGAGGAAGCCCAGGAATGCCAGAGGGCTGTTTTCCGGGCATGTGGGTCCCCCTGTAGCACTGCCCACAAGTAATTGACCCAGCAAGACTGGTACCAGGACCTCAGGAACAGGCGCCTGCTCTGCTTGCAAGTGGGAGGCCTGGAAAGGAGTCCCCTTTGCCCAACACTAGGAGGGCCCGTAACTGCTCTGGAAGCCCATCCCAGCACTGCTTCTGTGCTACGGGACAGCGCCAACCATCAGCCCCCAACTCTCTGCACCTCCCACCCCTCACTCAGCTGGAAGGAGGGCCCATTTCTAAAATCACCATTCCCACCTGTGCCCAGCCCCTGCCAGACATACATGGAGGGTCTGAAAGGAGACCCCTGCCCCACCAGCGAGACTGATTAAGGAGCACCGTTGGTCAGCGTTCGGGGTTTCTCGGGGTGAGAACTTGGTGAGGGTAAGAACTGGGGCCTTCCTGGATAGGGGAGACACAATGGTCTTGAGGGACACTCAGGACTAGGGCAGATGGACAGCAGGGAGGCTGGGCCTGGAGGGTGGCCTTCCCTGGGGTGATAGGGAAGGTGAATGTGGGGAGGGCCCTTTGTGTAGGGGAGTCAGAGCAGCACCAGCCTTGATGCCACCTGAGGACCTGAGCTGCAGCGGTGTTGGAGCTCTGGTGGCAGCCCAGGGCTGGGGAGGAAGGGGTGGGTAAGTGTGGCAGGGCAGAACCTTCACAGGCCTGTGTCCCCAGATGTGGGAGGGTGCCACTGTGCCCATTCCTACAGAGGCTCTGAGGAGCACAGACAGTTACTCTGGGCCCAAGGACATGGTCTACACCATTGAGCAGCCCAGCAACGGGCAGGTAGTCCTGTGGGCAGTGCCGGGCACAGAGCTGCACAGCTTCACGCTGGCCCAGCTGGACGGCAGGCTCATGCTGTTCTCACATAGAGGTGGGTGCCGAAGGCCGGGCCCCAGGCTCCTGCTGCCCACAGGGGTGCCCTGAGGTGAGGAGCCAGCTCAGGCCAGCTGGACCCAATGCCCCTGTCCCCAGGAGTCCTGGACGGAGGCACCCACTTTGGCCTCTCTGATGGCGAGCACACTTCCTCCAGACACTTCTTCTGAGTGACAGCCCAGAAGCAAGTGCTCCTCTTGCTGGAGGGCAGCCGGACACTGACTGTCTGCCCTGGTGGGTGTGCTGATTGTGGGGGTTCTTGGGTGCCGGGAGCCAGGGCAGAGCTGAGGGTGGCATGCCAGGGTCATGCTGTCTCTCTGCAGCCACAGGCCCGGGCCTGGATCTCAAAGGCTGACCCCTTTCTGGAAGGGTCTGTCCAGCCACTTAGCAGCCAGAGCCTCAGAGGCAGCTCCAGTCAGGCACCGATCCCCAGCTCCTGCTCTATGGTGTGGTACTGGGCCCCCAACTGGGTGGGTTCTTCCATGCCCAGCATGACAGCACAGGGGAGGACCTGGTGAACTACGCTCAGGCAGAAGTAGGGGCCCCACTCTGCAGCCACCACTCAGATGCCCCCAGTCTCAGGTGGCCGCTGTGCTGTGGACATAATGTGGACATGGGCACCAGCTCCAGCATCGCTGGCAGCAGACACCTGGCCTGCCATGGTCCAGGCCCTGGTGTCCTGCCCTCCAGGAACCACCAGGCTGGCAGGGCAAGTTCATGTTTCCAGAATGAGGGAGAAGGATGCAGGAAGTCGGGGATACAGGGCCCTAGAGCAGGGCTGGGGTCTTGAGGTGTGGCTTCCACAAAGAAGCTACAGCTGGACCCGAGGGTCTGGTGAGGGGGCACCATGTGGGGGCACTAGTGGCACCCCAGTAGCTGGTGAGGGGCAGTGCTTGGTGGAGGATCCAGCTGCTGGGCCTGTGGGCAGAGGTGTGAGCCTGGGGCTCAGATTAGGTGCCAGCCAGAGGCAGAGTCAATCCTAGGAGCAGATGAACTGATGAAAGGCAGCTGAGTTGGCCAAGAGGGTGAAGCCGCCGTTCATCTGTCCTGGCGGCTTCAGAGAAGAACTAGAGCTGTCAGCCATGGGTAGCGGCAGACTCTGTGGTAACTCTGCCATCGGGGCCAGCCCAGTCATCGCTTAAATGAAAACATCTCCCCAAAGGCAGAGCAGGAGTTGTTCCATAGCAGGGCAGAGCGGGCCAGACCCTTGTGGGCCGTCCTGGGCAGGCAGCACACCTGATGCCCCCGCCAGGAGGCTGCGCGGGCATCTGGAGCTAGCATGTGATCACAGTGAGTTCTGGGTAGGGAGTGGTCTTGTGGGGCGCAGAGCTGACTATCAGGAGCCATGGCATGTGGTACTGCCCCAAGTACCTCCAGAGGGGTCCCCTGTCAGCCCTTGAAAATGGCATAGCCCACCCCTGTGTCCCTTTCCAAGTTCCCTTGTTTGGGCAAGGACCTCCTGAGCCTGGCACTCTCCCTCCTGAGAGGCGCAGATGGCATTCAGCAAGTGCAAAGCTAAGGTTTCTTGGGTCTGTCACATCAGCACCTCTCAGGCCTGGGTTCTGTATTTCTCTGGATCCGCACTTCTGCTGTGGCCCCCTCCCCACAATGAGATACTCATCAGGCTGTTGTCTACAGCTGCTGCTGTACCCTCAGTGCTGGAAGCTTTTGTCAAGAATGCCCAGGAATGAGGAAGGGACAGGGCCCAGACCATCAGCAACCCTCTCACACCCTATAGTCCCATGTTACTCAGAGCTTCCCCGTGCCCCAGCAATAGGAAGGACTAGATTGAATAGGCACCAGGGGGCCAGGCTGGCAGTGCCACCCAGGAAAGCCAGGAAGAGGCTACAAGGGCTACCTGGCCCACTCAGGGAGGAGGACAGGACTCGGTATTGTCTTGACAGAAGCCGTGTCCCACAACACTGAACTGGTCAGGGAAGGGGTCAGGTGTCCCCATTTTTCAGATAAGGAAACTGAAGCTCCTGGAGGGCAGGTAACTGTATTCAGAGCACATGGCCGGTAAGAGGCACAACTTCTGCCTGCCAGTCTAGGATTTCCTTCACCAGAGGACACTGCTTGCTCCCCAGAGCTCAGGACCCTGTGTTTTGTTTCACTCTCACCCACAGAGCTCCCGTATCCAGGCATCAGCTCCAACTCCCACTCCTGGAGGCGGAGGTGGGAGGATCACTTGAGCCTAGGAGTTCAAGACCAGCCTGGGCAGCATAGTGAGACCTTGTCTGTACACAAAACTTTTAAAAATAGCTGGGCTTGGTGGTGGCACGTGACTGTATTCCTAGCTACTTGAGAGGTTGACTTTGGAGGATCACTTAGAGCCCAGGAGGTTGAGGCTGCAGTGAGCAGTGATCACTGTACTCCAGCCTGGTGACAGTGCGAGACCCTATCACTGCCCCACTCCCCGCGCCAAAAAGCAAACAAACAAAACAGTAGATAGGTGTCCTGTTGGCATGATAGGTCCTGAGTCCCTTCTCAGATCTGTGACATTGGACAGGTGTCCTTGCTTCTGGACCTCGGTGTCACCACCTGAGTGAGAAAAGGCGGTGGGGAGGTGGATCTTTCAGTCGAAGCGGTGTAGAAGCCCGTCTGAAAAGCCATACGCCAAGGGGCTCCAAGTCCAGCGCACAGTCCCAGCAGGGCCCAGGAAGGCAGTCAGGGCGGCACAGGCATCAGGTCCCAACCTTCTTACCTGTTCGCCCACTCTCAGACCACGGAGTTCTCATCTCGGAGCCACTGGCCAGTGTGTGCTCGTGTGAGGACCAGAACATACTGATGGAGGAGTTGGCAGAGCAGGCACAGCCGCGGCGCGAGGAGATGCTGCGCATGCACCACATGCTGAAGGAGGGGCTCAGCATCATCCGCGACATCAACACAACCACCGTCAGCATGTCCAAGCGCCTGCCCGTGGACGACTCCTGGCTGCAGGTGTAGAGCATCCCGGACGAACGCAGGTAACAGGGCCAGCCCCCACGGTCCCCAAAAGTCCCCCAGCCCGGGCTGCTGGGAGGAGTGCCCGGGGGCAGTGGCGTACCCCCTCACAGGGGTGGCTCCCACCTGGAGTGAGTGGCGGAGCTTGCCAAGGAGAACTGGCTGCGGGGCAGGGTGGAGCTGGAATGTTGTCCCGCTGAGGGCGGGGCTTAAGCTCCGGCGACCGCCTCGGGGCGCGGCAGGGAGGAGCTTCCCTGCATGGGCGTGGCCGGCACCGGGCTGGGGCGGGGCCTCAGGGGGGCGGAGCCGCCCATTTCTCCTCTCTGCCTCCCTCCCTGTGGCCAGCAGGTCGCCTAAGTCCAGTCCCAGGATGCCCATCCCTGGCTATGTCCCCAGCCTGGCCTGGGTCGTGGGGCCTGGCTCCTGGGCTTCCTCCTACTGGGTCCGCCCTTGGGGAAGCATCCTCCGTACCCTCCAGGCCAGAGGCTTCCCCTGATCCCTTCAGCCCTACCCGCCAAGTGCTCTCGTGCCCCACCCGGGATCGCCAGGTGAGTAGGGGCTGAATGCGGATTGGGACTGGAATCCAGAGCATTGGACCTGGCCGCAAGAACTGGCCGTCTCCAGCCAAGAAACTGGGACCATGGACACCGGAGCCACATGTGGCCGAGGGCTGGCAGAGCCTGCCCCCCAGGGAGCGCTGAGTCCCGGAGGTAGTCGTTTTTGAGGAGAGGGCTAAGGGGCTCGTCCCACCTGCTGCCTTCTTTCCAGCACTTGCGTAGCACTTCCCTCTATTTTCACTCTCGGCAGTCGCCCACACGTTGCATTCCTCTTCCTATCTTCTCCTTGTCCTCCATCCTCCATTCCGTCCAACTCCTCTCCCAGCCCCTGGGGAGCCTACCTCAGGTCTGAGAGTCTGAACCCCGAGATGCTCTGGGTGTGTGGATTTCCTTCACCTACCCTGATGTCCCCACTTCCAAGTCCTGACTCCTTTGAGCCATCCCAGGGGGTGTCTGGCCACTGCGCCACAGGAGCAGAGGCCAGGCTGTGACTGTGTGACCAACAAGGTGTGTGATGTGTGTATGGGTGAGCACACGAGTGTGAGAGTGT